GGGCTCCGCGAGCCCACGGCCACGCGTGGGGGAGCGGGGGGGGCAGGATGGGAGCTGCCCCCGCCGCTGCTCGGCATCCCCGTCACCGGCGGGCTCCAGCGGCAGCCCTGCTCCCACCTTCCTGGATCCTGATCGTGGCTTATTATCCTTGTTATCGTTAATCATTAGTATTATTTTAAAATGTATTTATTTAAAAAATAGTTTTATATTTTTATATCTTTTTAATGTATTTTTATATTTTTTATTTTTTATATTTTGTATACATTATTTTATTTTTATATTCATTATTTTATTTTTATATTCATTATTTTTATTTATCAGTTTTAATTTTATGATGTTTTAAGATATTATATTAATATTTATGTTTATAATAATACTGTTATTGTTATTGCCATTATTATTGCTATTATTACTATTATTGCTATTATTACTATTATTACTATTTTAATTCTAATCCCCATAGGGCCCTGCCCTGTGCTACCAGCCCTGCAGCAGACTCGTTCAAAGCCACGTGCAACCAAAGCAGCTGCAGGGACCAAATCATCCGCAGCTCCACAGTGCAAGTAGCTCAAGGTGAAGGGCAGAGCGTGACTCGGGTAGAGGAAGAAGGAGAGGGAAGAAGGGTAGGTGTGCAGGGAGACATGCCCCTGCCTTCAAAGGCCCTCTGGTGTATACATATACATATATATAAATAAATATTAATAAATAAAAATAAAGCCCACTCACCTGTTAATAAAGCAGAGGCCGTTCTGCACCACAGACACAGAAGAACTTCTGGAATCATCCAGTTTTCCRACACATTTGCCTAAGAGTTTAGGCTATGGCAGAGAGCTCATGAAAGGTGGCTGATCTAAGCAAAAACAGACACGCTRGAGAGAGACTGGCATACACGTTTCTTTAAAGGACACAAAGCCTTGCTTAAGAGTTTGCAGATTCTCCCGTCCTGCTGCAAAGGGAGCCCCATTCCCTACAACACGTGCCCACTCACCTCACCTTTTAACAGACAACCTTAAACACTCGCTCGAGAGACATCCCCTCCATCGCCAAATCACAGCATAACCCATCAGTTCCTTGCAACCTAATGGCTATTTTCCTAAATCAGAGGTGGTTTCATTAAAAACGAGAAGATAATGAAGATAACATCTCCTAGGAGAACACCCCCAGTATTGCTGCCATTTGACGACACCTTGAAAACCACCCCRAAACAGCCCTGAAAAATCATACATGCAACACAGTGTGTGGTTCATCCCAAGGGCCACAACAGGCATGTGCACCCAGGATTCAAGCCTCCCAAACCAGCTGGATACACCACCTCAAAGGAAGTAAAAGCACCTCCTGCTCCCGCTGCCAGAGCAGAGCTCTGTGTCACCAGCCACCCACCACACGTCCAAGTGTGCACAGACACCAGCCCATGGCATCTTTCCATCTCCTCACTGCTGGTCTTGGGCTATCTGCTCTGCTTTTTGCCCCCACAGAAGTGCCCCAAGGTCAGCTCGCCCAGGCTTGACYGTCTTACAAAGCCAGCCAGGTCCAGAATCTTCCTTGCTGCAGTTTAATTCCCAGGAATGACCTTATTTCTCATGTACAAAGTGAACAAACCTGCCGGCCTTGTGATTTTGGAGTCACAGTGCAGCCGTCTGGGAGAGCTTTCCAACTAGTTGTAAAGGACTTCACCTTGGCAGCAACTGTTATTGGCTTCTGCTCAATTTTTCTCCCAAATACAGGACCATTAAAACCAAAAATAAATTAMTTTTCATAAATTTTCTTACTAAAAACCTGGAGAAAAAGAAAAAAAGTGAATGTGTTTCAGAATAGATGCATACATACATCTTGTGTAGAAAAGGCCATTTATACATTAKCAAATAAGTCTTTCATTTTGAGTTCACACACCAATAACCTCTTTTAACAAGCAATTTAGAGGCAAAGAGTCACAGAGAGCTCTGGAGCATTCACAGACCTGAGTAGGTGGAATAAAYTGTTGACTTCCTTTATATCCATTCCCTTCTGCTCCTCATAGCTCAGCGATGAGCACACTCATCAGAAATGAAGGTCACATTTCTACCTATTATGGAAAATGGTTTTGCACTTGCCTRAATATCTGAGAAACACCCTCACCTCACTCCCAGGCCATAACCAGGCTCCTGGATACTCCAAGCTGCTAATGCTATTTTAAATGGTAATAGAGCTCAGGTGTTCCCTCCTGCCCAGACAAATCGCCTACCAGCAGATTTCAGATCCATTTTCACTCTCTTTGGTGAACGTGATAAAGATTTTCATGTAGTTCTGGCTCACAAATCACCAGCATGCATAAATATCTTTTTTAATGGTTCCCCATGCACAGATAATTTTACTTACAAGACCGTAAATGAGAACTSTATATGATTAATTTAAAGTTCAGCAAGAGCAATAGAAATGCTCTGTTAAATGTTAAAAACACTCTATGATGAGACTGTCTAAGAATAGAGACTTACATGATTAATAACAATTAATAGTGTTATTATTTGACATCCTGTCAAATAAGGATGATAAATTTTTGAAAGACTAGATAGAGCGTTACCAACCATTCAGAAAGCATAGCTATAGATTATACATGTTCTAAAAGACCAGGTCAGATAATAAAAACATTGACATCAACTAGTCAGGAAATTATGGAAAGGATATGATAATTAAAATCCATTTAAAAAAGAAAACATTTTCTTCTTTTTTGTTAGATTATTGGACAAGTAGGTGGGGATAACTGAAGATATATTATGTTTTTACAAGGCTATTTTACTGCTGATGCTGGACTCAGCCTCCGATTTTAGAGGTCTTCTGCTCTGCCCTCCCGAGGCTGCATCCCGTTCAGCAGAGAGGCYGGCGCCACCCGCCTCCTCAGGGCCTGGCACCACCATGTCTTGCACTTCTGTTGGAGACACAGCTGGAAAAACTATTGAGACATGGAAAGTCACGGCCTCACCCAGCACCTCGAGAGCAGGCTTAAATAAGGCAGGATAAAGAAAATACAAACAAATGAGTGAATTTGGGRAAAAAAAAAATCCAAACGCAAACAAGACACAGGGAAGGGAAGAAAACTCCCTTCAATCTACTTGTTCCAGCCGACCTTTTCCTCTCGATCTCCCCCAGCCGACGTCGGMCTTGCCCATGTCACTGAAGTTCAAGCCCAGCAGCTCACTGTGCAGAGTGCAGGGAGCAGAACATAGTGACACGCGTAACAAACCTGTAGAGAAGCCTTTTATAGAAAGGTGCCTAAGATTCACCCAGAAGGTGCCTGGCAATCCCAGTGTGCAGGCTGGGATCCCAAACGCGCATCGCTGCCGTTTATTACTGCACCTCACGTTGGATTACAGCAGCGATCCCTCCTCCTGCAGGGACACTGGCCTTGAAACACCACCTTTGGTGGTGACCATCTCTTCTTGAGAGATACCTTGGACGTACTGCAAAACACCTCTGCACGGGGGCAGTGCCTTGCAATACYATTTCCAGAGCATTGGAAACCGGCTGACAGGATTTTTAAAAGCGGTGACTCATTGTCAAACGGGAGCTTTGTTTTTCCTGGTCTTCCACGGGGATTGATATTTCAAAGCCTGAGGCCAGCTTATGCGGTTATTACAGAGATAAATATGAATCAAGCCTGATAAAACCTGCGGATGACGCAAAGATTGGCAGAATGGTGAATAATAAGGATGCAGCAGCTCTGGGATCTAAGTTAGTTGCCAAATCGAGTCCATTTTGCAGCACAGGAAATGGCAAATTAAACCTAAGAGCAAGTATAAAACGCACTCTTAACAAGGGAAAGAGCTTTATGCCCAGCAAATAATTTTTCTAAGAGGATCTAGGAATTTCAGTAGGTGAACAGCTGAAAACATATTTTCCAGCCCAATGCTGGGGCAAGAAGGGCAATTTTGTCTTTGAATGTTTATAGGCTTGGARGGATGGGTTGGTGCCATCAGTGTGGGGCTGCTGAACACAACTGGGAGCTGCTACACACAGTTCTCCTCTGCTCACCTGAAAGATGCTGCTGAAAATCAGACACAGGCCACAAAAGGCAATAGAGAAGCAGAGGAAACCTCTTGCGGCAGCAGAGGGCATGAAATCTTCTGATATGAAAAATATGATTGAAAAGTCATTTGATTATTGTGTTTCTTTTCTTCGTGGACACAGCCCCACTTGGAGAACAGTACTAACAAACTTGGTTAAATTCCACATAAGCCTCAAATAAATCCTTTGTGCCCTCGAGGGATATCTAAGCAGCACAGGCTTTATCAGAAACTCAAGCAGAATGTAAATCTCACGAGCCTCGCTTTCACAACATGGGCTCACAGGCACCTTTGCTTTTATATCTGTTCCCCAGAGAGCACAAATTATAATGATTATATCGCATGAGTAATAACTAGAAGCCTTGAATTCCAAAACAAGAGCTAAATCAGAATTCCAGCTGTCCAAGCGTTAAATTTTTGTGCCCGGAGGGTTTAGTCTGCCCCTTTATATTACTTAAACGTACAGAAGTCATTTGTGGTTTAACATAATAGAGCTGTATTTAGGTGGATGACTGCATAAATAACTCGACTTTAGGTTAGGATTATCCCGCTCGGGGTTTCTCAAAAAATCTTACTCCTTCTTCAAGGAATAAAACAATGAATTCAAGCCATTTAAGAAAAAAAGAAGAAGAAAATCTCCCTCCCTACCTAAAAAACATGAAACAATGTGTTTCTACTTCATTTATAGTTCTAAAAGCCTCTTGAAGAATAGAACCTAGTATTACAACCCTAAACCATCATATTAAGGCTTTAGTGCTTTGACTTGGCTCTCCAGCAGCTGATGAGACCCTGGTCTTTTGGAAATACCTTCGTGGGACTCACGGGTACATGCAAGTCTGGGATGGTCCCTGTGCAGCCCCGAGCAACAATCGAGCATCAAACGGACAGAGCCACGTGTGGGATGAACGTCTGAAGCACGGGAAGCTCCCTGTGCTTCCAGGCTGTGAGTTAGGCAAATAAAGCAAGGATGGTAGCGACAAGGCAAAGAGGGTCCAGGTGGTGTGAGAAATCTGGCCAAAGAGGCTGCTTAAACCATKGACACGAAAGCTGCAGGAAAAGCAACTCTCCAGGCTCGGGCAGCGGGTGCCTCAGCGCTATGAAGCATTAATCACAAGTCCCCAACAGCCCCACCGGGCAGCAGTGAGTCACTGTCTTCCGAGTCCTGCGTCGGATGGGTGACTCTGCGGTACAACGTGAGTACATCTAACAACTCTGAAAAGGAATAGTCGATTTTTGCAACTCTTCCAACAAAATACTAAATAAATAATAATCCTCCCCACCATCCAGAGCACAGGAAAATAAAAGCCTTAACCAGAAGGATCAAAATGCCATCTTAAAACATCATACATTACAACCAGAAGCATACAAGCCAGAAAAAAAGAACTCTTAATTCTTCTCTTCTTATTTCTTCTCATAAATACAAGCTATATATGCCATATTTCCATTAATTATATTTCATAACAATCTCTCTCAAAATACATGCTAGAAAAAAGAATAATTCACTGTGAATATCAGAAGCCATTTTTTCATAAATTACGATCTGTGCTTATAGACACCTAGATGCAATAATCTCATCTTTTCCCACAGCTGCAGTCTGTCCTCCTGTCCACTGAAACAGCTCCATTCCTTTTCCTACCCTGCCTTAGAGGGCCTTACTCCCTAAACTCTTCTCCAGTCTATTGAGTTCTCTCCATTTTTTCCAGCATCCGCAGGTATCCAGGCATCCCACTGAGCAARGTCATTGCGAGTAAGAAAGCAAGAAAAACAAGAAAACAATTTTTGAGCTCAAAATGCAGTCCATCTCTCAACAGGTATATTCATCAACTGAAAATGCAGAAACCCACCAGGTTTAAATTCTTATCTGTCACACATGGAGTTTTACAACAGCTTAAAAGTTTATGGTGGTGGAGAAACAGGATAGCGACAGCAGGAGGTGCGTGAGCTGGCCAGGAGGCTGCGAATGCAACCTGCAGGAGAGAGAGGAAAAAACACAACAAAAATACCTTGGTGGGTCCATTAAGATGACATACTCCTTCCTGCAGGATATTGTGGGAATGAGATAAAAACAAAACCCGCTATTAATTTATGAAAGAAAACATTTTTGAAGACATGAATACAAAGATACTGGCTCCATCTCTGGAAATCTCTCACTGGAAAAACATTCTGGAAGAGGCTTGCTCTGTACTTGCTGCTTTCCCTCCTGCCTCCGGCCTGACTCCGGAGCTCCCGGCTCCGGTGCGGCACGGCCATCCTTAGGCTACCCCTAGCTGTCCCTAGCCATTCCATGACAGGGAATTTGGCATCAGACATGGAACAACTACTGAATTTAATGGGAAGTTTGAAGCCTTTTTAGAACCTTATTATCTGTGCCACATCTTTAATGTATCATTTTTTCCATAACCTCTCCTTGCTCTGTGCATCACTATATGTACCATTACATGATATTGTTGAAGGGAACCCAGATAATTCAGTTGCAGATTCACTAGCAGTTAGAGTTCTCTCATACTCAYATTTACCTACTTTAGGTCATTTCCTCTAACTCATAGGCACCCTCTGGACACATCAGAGGGATCTTCAGTGATTCTTCTCACAGACAAGCAGTGTGAAGAATAAGGCAACATCTCCAGGCATGAATACTTGGCTTGCTGTTAAAAATAAACTGTACTTTCTAAATCCACCCTTATCACATAAATCATACCTATTGTAGATTCATAAGAACTAATACACTTTTAAACAGAGTTGGTATTTTAAATAGCATTATTCAGCTATTGAGGAGGGAGCGCAGTCAACGAAGCACTAACCATTCCCCAGCATTACAGCTCCTCACGTGGCAAGGGGCCRGATGCAAAGGCTTTGTGCAGAGAAATGAGCATCTAAAACCTGCCTTGCAGCCTGCTGCTATGGGGCACTGCATTGACAAGGAGATGGTCACTGCGGCAGCCCATCTGAATTTAACATTAGGGAATCCTTAACTAACAGAATTTCAAAATGTGAATGAACAGATTGGGTCCTGACAGGTAGAGGTTTTCTTTTTCTTTTTTTTTTTTTTAAATAAAAAGAATCTGCACAAGTAGCACAGCAAATAGATGATTTTCTTGCAGATGGAACTGTTTGAGTAATGTGAAAAGCTACTGTAATTTGGATACTAGGAAAAAAAAACAATATGCAATTGAGCAGTTAAATCATTAATGGGTACTTAAAYAGTCACCTTTGATGTAAAGATAGCACCTTCCACTTCAAGAAAAATAGCCATGATTCTAAGCTATAGCTGTGTGACAAACTTGCTGTATCTTACAATGCAAATTGTTACCACTTCTGTTACCTACTTTTCCACCCTAGGAAGAAGCTGACCAGAAGACAAGCCTGAAGGGAAAGAGAGCAGATGATAATTGAGCAAAACCAAACAAACCAAAAGCCTAAAACAACCCCCAAACAAGCACCCTCTGCCCCCCAGTTATCATTAAAACCACTGTCTCTTCTCTGCCTTGCCAATAGGGGCAGGCCGGAGGGTTTTCATCCTAGCTCCCCTCCGCTCTGGCAATGAAAGCGGCTGTCCCTGCAGCTTTTGAGGCTTCTCCCCCACTTCAGCCCTCTCCCCAGYGTGTCTGGGGGTGCTGGCGCAGGCACGGCCTGTGCTTCAGGGAGTACCAGAGGGCTGGCAGGCTCGGGCTGGGGGCACATCTGTGCTCAGGAAATGCTACCTACCCGTCCGAGAGAGCACCGAGCAACACAGGGATGKCGTAGCCAAGTGCTTTCAATTTCTTTTTGATGGAACGGCAAGAGGGAGGGCAAGAAAGCAAATCTCACTTGACTGTACTCAGCAAGGGTAGGGATTAAAGGTAGAAGGCACCAGCAAACACCCGCAGAAGAGGAGCCTTGACCCTCTACCACATCTCCAATCGGTCCGCTTGGGCTCTAACAAACACAGCAGCTACCTGTATTTAATCCACAATTTCATGGGAGCATCGATTCGCTTTTTGGAGGATCACACCAGACTGCACGGGAAGCAGCATCAGGATTTGCGTGGTCTCGGCGAAGGAAAAGCTGCAAACATCTCTCAAGGATTTTAAGACACGTAAAGCGGTATTTGAAGTCCAAGGAGCAGCAGACAAATTAAAATGCAAGATGGAAGATCTTTATCTAAGTTCTTTCACTGTTACTTTTGTGCAGCACAGACAACTATTTAGCAAGTAGATTCGACAACATCACAATTCTGTTTCTCAGTAGTACAAACCAGAATCTTAACACCTAAAGGTCCTTGACCTGTAAAAGCTTTAGCCTAACTTGAAAGTGTGCTTGGCTCAAGAGCTASAGCTACCCAGTGTAGCAGTTAAGTCCTTCAAAACACAAAATCAAATAATTCACAAGATGTTCTCAAAGCTTCTATTTTTTACTGTCTCTATAAAACCATTTAATCTGTAAACTTTTTAGAAAGCCACTTAAAAATAATCCTTCTTCATTAACAGTTATACATCATATTCTACCATTTTTGTCACTTTGTATTAAAAACATATGAAAGGTCTAATACACCTCAAACCAAAACCACATTTATTCCATCAGTCACAAGTGCAAATATAGCAACAAGTCAGTTCAGCATATTACAACACACAGAAAGGAATGTAATGTAAATGCTAATTACACTGACAGAGCAACTTCAGAGAGCAGCAAAAATGGTTTCTTCAAATAAAAATTTCTATCCTTTCTATCTGTAATCTAAAATAATGTAATAAATCAAGATCAGGAATGTCTCTGCTAACTAACATTCAGCCAGCTCTTCTGCTATTAACAGTTCGCATTATTCAGTGCGCAAACGGCCTGCCCAAGCTCCTTATTAACAGATGTTTTGGTTTTAAGCAAATTTTATCCATTATGTAAATAACATAGTGCTGACAGCAGCTCATATGTTCTGCTGTTTTCATATTACAAATTTAAGTAGTATTTTTTAAAAAATTACATCCAATTTTGGTGTACATTTAGAACTGCAACCTAGATCCAAAGTGGGCAATAATAAAGATAACATTGAATAAAATTTCCACACACAAGTGGACCCAAGTGACCTAAAATTTTCTTCATCATCTTTAAGTCTTTAGTTAACATACATATGCAGCACTTACGTATAAAATAGAAAGCATTCCCATTAGGAAGATACTGCAGTGTAATTAGCAGTTTTTCCCTACCACTTAGTAGCCAAGGAACACGATTTATGCTTAATACCCGACCATCATTTTGCTTTAAAGGAAAGCAAAGTAGAATGCCAGTATTAGCATCAGTAGGTTTGCACTGGAAGCTCAGTTAGCCTTCTTTTTCTTTAGGAGCTGCTGCTTCTTCTCTTTTTCTTTGTAGGCAATGAATTGAGAGTCTGTACCGAAGAGCCTGTCCCACCACGTGAAGGTTGAAGCGTAGTTGCCGATGAAGTTCATGTGATGGAAATCGTGGAAGCGAGCCCCCGCGTAGAAAGGCACCAGGTGAAGGGGGTTCAGAGGAACATCATAGCCACTACACGGGAAGAAAAAAGGAAATGGTAACTTTGTTTGCTTGTTTTCCCCAAAACGGGTATCTGTAGAGGRAGTGTAACTGAACAGAAACATCCTTCTACATTGTAAGGTCCAGAATTGCCTTACACTGGTTTGAGGGAAGAGTTACAGTGTGCAGTTTCACAAAAAGAGATACAACAGARGGTCAATGCTTCTGCAAGAATAAAGGAAAAACAGAACCTCTCCCTTACCTACCCAAAGGCTCCTGTAAACTGCCCCACTCTGGCCTCGGCACAGTCTAATCTCTTCAGTTTAATAAGCCACCCCCTCCCCAAAGCCTTGTTAGAACAGGGCACCTCCAGGACAACAGAGAGTGACTTGCAGCTGGTTTTGCAGATCCAGCTGGCTCACCTTATCTCTGCTGCTCCCCAGACTGCACCTCAACTACAACTCGAGAGCCTGTTAGAGCCTCCCTTTAGGAAAGCAGATGATTAATTCAGGGACTGAGAGGAAAAGTCATGCTGTGCCAATTTCTATTCCTAACTGTTTCCATATTACTTTTAAGGTGTAAATGCTTAAAATTTATAATTGAAAACATAATATTACAGTAATATGAAACCCAGAMCCATTGCTTTAAAGGGTTTTCAACTCTGTTGCTTAGTAGTCCTGAAAAGCATCCTGCCACCACCACCTAGTGGTGACAGTGCAAGGTAATTTGTTATAAACACCTCACAGGGCCAGAAAACTTGAATTATAAGTGCCCAAGCAGATTCATACTTTTCATCCATTGCTTAAAGATACACTACAGCATATACTTCTTTACTACTAGCTAAGTCCTCTGGTATTTGTGCTGTCATACTGGAACCCAATCTGAAAGAAGTTACACTCTGGCCACAAGGACACGTAGCCTCTCCAGCCAATTCTGACTTTTTTAAGCAGTCAGTTGTCGCATATCCTAGCATGCATAAGATGACTCATATACTGGAGATCAAACACAAAGCAGCAAAACAACCATCACAATGATATATGTAGCCTTCAGGGCCCTCTGCAAGACTCTACACTCTTCCCATCAGCAAGATTTGCTAGTAAGATCACTTCAAAACAGAAGACAGTATTTACTGTTCAGCCTGTGCCATATGTTAGAGGTACTGCAGAGAAAGCTGAGAAGAGGACAACTTCTTTACAACATGCATAAAAGCACCTCAACATGAAAGAGGCAGAAAGCTCCAGAGCTAGAAGAACCAATTAATTTTAAAACAGACTTGGGAATAAAATAAAATGCTCGTTATTTTTAAGCAGTTTACCTGTGCACATCAATGGTTTCCATCAAGCGACATATCACCCATGCCCACAGAAGAACCACATGGTTACAGAAAACAACAATCCCAATAAAAAAGCCAGCTCCAAGGATAAGCGTTTCCAGCGGATGGGCATACTCGGCTTGCATTCCAAAAGGAGACTACAGAAAAACAAAACAGGAAAAGTTTGAAAACGGTCACTATTTCTTTCTACACCTCAGATCAGATCCACCGTTTTGTGAGGCCTTCCTCCTGTCCTGCCTCCACACTGCAGAGGACACACAGAAATTCCTTCCTTGTGGACAGAGGAAACGGTCTCCCTGAGCTCAGTGAACACAACTGTTCAGCTCCTCATTGGAAGGACAGAATCAGCACCCCAAGGTCAGGAGGGCCTGGAAGYCCCAATTAGCAAGAACTGCAAAACRYCACTTCAGAGAGGGATTTCAGTTTACCATCATCTCAGAGTCTAAGAGTTATTTCAAGAACATCAAAGTGTTGGGTAGGCTCCTGTCTGTTTTGCTATGCTTCTAGGTTTGGAAGGAGAAAAAAAAATGGAAGGAAGTTCAAATATTCTCAGAGCAATAATTACAAATTTTAAGATATAAAACAAAGGACTCAAGAACCCTCAAAAAGCACTCTTCATCTTTAACACTCTGTAAGTCCTTGCAGTTCAAAATATTATTGTGAGACTGAAATAAAGCATCTTCTTTCCTTTAGATATATACATTAAAAAGATATTCCTACATGTGGTTTCAAAAAGCACTCCATCGGAAGCTTTAAAAAGCAGAACATTTGRAGAAAAATAAAAATTAAACTTTAAGGCCAATACAGAAGAATRTAAGTTAATCTAAAAATAAAAAAGTACACTTTGGCTTAAGGAAAGTTTAAACATTTTATTATTAGGAAAGGTTTTTAGTAAAGTAGCTGCTAGTTTTCAGGTAACTCCCATGTGAACTGCTACCCGTTCTCACAAGGAACCCGCCCAGAAGCTGTTCCCAYTCCTGCCGGAGGGGCTGCAGAGGTCTGCAGGAAAGCAGCCACTGCAGCCTGCGCAAGGACACAGGTCAATACCCTGCTCGCTGCTACCTGCAGCCTGCCCCACAGGCCGCAGCCTGCAGCCCACTTGGGACACAGATTAGTTACGAGCTAAGCCAAGGTAGGGCAGAAACAGAGCAGCACCCGACTGCTGTGATCCAGAAACCTGCTGTCAGAGGGTGCTTATCCCACCTCTCGGACACAGGCGCTGCTGAGGCCGGCTTTCCAGAACAGGGCCACCTCCAGGAGCGCACATATCACCCAAATACTCCCTTCAAATAAGCTGAATGCATGCATTAACAACATGAAAGAATGAAGGAATACATACTACAAACTCATGGTGAACCTTGTGGATATACTTGTATATCCTCTTGTGATGCAACAACCTATGCAGGAAATAGTGCCAGGCATCCTCGATGACGGCGCATCCGAAACACTGGGCCAGCAGAACGTACCTTCAAAAACAAAAGAACAGGGGGAGAACTGTTAGTTACAGAAAACATTGGCTTATCTTGGAAGAGAAAACAGTTTATACGCTAATAAGGATGCAATATATCTGGGAAATGTTACATACTGCTACTGGCTCAATAACAGTGCATTGGCACTACCTATTAACATACTAAAGTATTAATTATYAAGTACATTAGCCTTTACACCTATCAGCTCATCAGTCCATGTGCTGAAGCAAGCTAGCATGTGGCTAACAGGTTACCATCCATACATTTAGTACTACACACAGTATAGGTAATGAACGTCTTGAGTCAGTGTAAAACCTAGATATACAAAGAATTGTACCTGAACTACACAGAAAATATGTTATGAGAAAGACCACCTGCTGTTGTAAAGAACAACTTCAGGAAAAAAAAAAAAAAAAGAAAGAAAAAAAAAAGGAAAAACATAAGGCACTTCTAGGTAGATTTGGTTTTGTGTAAAAGTATCTTCATTTAGAGAGAAGCAGGTGGTGCAGTCTCTCCCTTGGGGAATACGCGCTGTTGCGAAGAAGGAAAGCAACAGGGTGGAGAAAAGAAACAGTATCTAATCCAAGCCATTATGAATTCTGCTTTGCTTCCAGCAACTGCCTTCTAATATCCCCTCTTCTTTAAGAATCTRGGATCATCTTATTAAAAATATTAATAAAAAACCCCATTCTAGCAAGCTCTAATTGGCTCTTGTAGCAGTCAGATATCAACCAACACAAAATTAATAGAGTTTACAAATCATCAATGTCTAGTTACAGTACATTAGAGTTAATGATATTATTTGTTAAACATTTTCCCTCMAGCGGCATACAGTTCAGAAGAAGAAGAAATATCTACCTACCATCTAGGCATTTCTTCCCACTCATAAGGAATGTTAAAATATTCTGTGAAGTAATAGGTACCACAAATCAGAGGCAGCTGAATGAAAAAGTGATTGAAGAGGAGTGTTTTGAAACATTTCCACTGCTTTTCCCATGTTTCTGGTTTATCCTAGAAAGAAACAGACAATTCTGTTATGTGATTTTACAGCATCAATTTCAAATGCTTAAGAAACAAAACAAAACCCCCCMAAAAAACAAAAAACAMAGTAAAATCCACCCATCCCCAAACCCCACATCTTTCTGGGTACTTTAAGATGCATTTTAGAGACTTCAGCAACTTTCGCACACTGCTACTCTGCTGWAGAAAATTCTGGTGCTTGATAAAGTCTCTCAACACCTGATGAAACAGCCCAACAAAACATCTATTGGAAAAGTTTTATCACTAATAAGTTTCAAAGTGTTTCACAAATAATATTGTGAACACCTCCTTTCCTGCTCAAGCTATAATTTATACGTAAATCCTTAAACTTTTTAAGGTAGTTTTTAAGAGGTGGGGAAAAGCACATATTTGAGAGGAAAGCAGATTATATCTACTTTGAAATWCTCAGAGACTCTGCTTGATCCTGTGGTATTATCCTAAATATGTTTAAAACTACCCAAGTGAAAAATCAGCCTCTTAAGCTGCTTCTGAAATATCTACCTAAATTTCTTTCAGAAGTTACTTAGGAAGAAGTCATTTAGAATTTAGTTTTTCATTCACATAAGGCCTGCAAAGGCATCCAGGCCACAGAACAGACTGACATATCTCAGGCTATGGTTCCCTTTCCTTGCTTGAGAACTTTTCTTCTGTGCTGTTTTTCTCAAGTCCTTTTATCTTGGAAAATAAGCAGCAGCTCCTCCCACAGCACCAACCAACTCAGGCAGCAGAAGCTGCAAGATGAGATGAAATTCAGGTTCTATCACAAATTCCAGAACCTCTCATTTTTTAAGACAGCTTTTCACAAACCTTGAAGCAGGGATTTCTCGATAAAGTTATTCTTTACCAGTCACCTCAAACAAATCTTGTTGTTTCACTATTTGCAATTAACAGCAGCATTTCAGACTTGACAGCTTAACATTAACCTAATTTAGCTTTATTTTTTTCAGGGACACCTATTACCAGTTACCATAGCAACATAAGAAAGCAGCATTGTTTCATCTCAAATTCATATTATAAGCAAGGATAAGGAAACAAAGGGAAAACAACCTGGCTATTTGGGATGCACATTTGCCACTTACCTCTGTTTAAAACCCAGCGGGCAGCCCATCTGAAACCTCTTCCATGATTAAAACACTTTGACATCACTTCAACAGGGCGTTCACAAATAAACTTTAAGTGACCCTTGCTATTAACTCTCAATACCATGTAATTTCACCAGGTGAAATAATTATTTTGCAATACTAACTCCCAGCTCTACTGCAAACAACTCTACTGCACCTTYGAGATATCTTCCTCATCTACCCATAAACTTYACAGGCTGGTTGAGGTTGGAAGGGACCTCTGGAGACCATCTACTCCAACCCCCTGCTCCAGTAGGGACACCTAGAGCACAGGGCGGCATCCAGGCGGGTTTGGGAGATCTCCAGAGAAGGAGACTCCACAGCCTCCCTGGGCAGCCTGTTCCAGGGCTCTGTCACCCTCACAGCAAAGAAGTTCCTCCTCTAATTGAGATGGAACTGCCTGTGCTTCAACTTATACTCACTGCCCGTTACCCACTGGCCACCAYCRAGAAGAGTTTGGTCCTATTCTCTTTACATCCTCCCCTCAGGTATTTATTTATACATGGTGGTAAGATCCCCGCTCAAATCTTACTTTCTCCAGGCTACAATTACCTAGAGAACGTTTTACTTTGCTGGTACAGAGACCAGCAAACACCCTGCTTTCTCTCTAAATCATTTCACAGAGGATAGAATTCTCCTGGTCAGGAAAAGGGCCTTTTCTCCCTCAAATTCACATCCATTCCCCTCTTCCCACATGCTGCAATTTTATCACTTCCAAGAGGTCTATGGTGATAAGAGAGGCACGTGTGTTCAGCTATACCAAAAGTTAACACACCAGAGTTATCTGGGCCTGGCATGGTAAAAGGAAACTGAGGCAGTGCATGGTTCAAGGCTTTATCTTACCTGTTGAATTTTGTACTTTTGCATGTACGGTATAAACTGGAAGACAAATCCAGGCACGCAGAGCAGGAAGTACGAAGCTTCATGGACTAGGAGCGATCCCCAGGTGGCGATCTGGAACTTGGTGTAGTTGTCCAGCATGTAGTTCCAGGCATTTTTAAACGGCTGCTGCAGTGGGTTATCAGGCAAGAAAGAGTCTATGTACTCCACTGCCAGGTAAGCAGAGCTCAAGATGTTCACGCTGTCGTTCGCTGCCATCGTTCAAACATCAAACATCACAGGCACCGTTTTTCTGGGGGTGTCTAAATCACCTGCAAGTTTGGAGGAAAGAAAACTGATTAAGAAGCAGTATCTCCTGAAAAACAAAGAAAAACAAACAAGAACAACAACAACAAAAGTTYTTATCTGGTTTGGGACCGGAGAAATATCGATACTCTTTCTAGAGAACAGCATAAAAGACCCAATTTTAAGCCGGGCTCGAGGACACCSAGGTCTCAAGCTCTGAAGCAGGGCCCAGGCAGTAAAGGCAGGCTCCCGTTTTCCCGTAACCAGCTTTACCCGAGTGTCGGTTATGCAAGCGCTGCACTGCGCAGGGAGGGCGGACAGGAGGGCTCGGGAGCGGCTGGGAAGCCCCACAGCGCTCCCTGCCACCCGCCTTCCTGCCCAGCCAGGTTCTCGCCACGGCGGCGGGCCCGGGCCCGGGCCGCTCCCGGCCTGCRCGGCCTCCGGGCTGCGCCTCCCGCCCCGGACACGGCCGCAACGCGCCGGAGCCCCCAGAGGGGATCCCCCCAAARGGCCCCTCACCCCGGTCCCGGTCCCTCACCTCGGCCCCGGCCTGGTCCCTGGTCCCCGCTCCCGGTCCCGGCGGCGCCCGGCGCGGCACTAACAACCCCCGGCCAAGGCGGCCGCTCAAGAGCGCCCC